CTGGCAATGCAGGGGGCAAAGGCTGCTGTGCTGTGCCAGGCTCAGATTGGATCCAGGTAGGAATGCTTGGCTCCTCCCCTGGGCGGAGCATCTCCCCATGGGATGCTGGGATTGGATCAGCCCTGCAGGGACACTCAGTGGCCATGGACAGCAGAGATCTGCTGGAGGGAGGGTTGGCTGTGGGAGAGATAAAGCAAAAACTGGCCATGGACAGCAGAGAACTGCCCCAGCTCTGACAGATGGTGACAGAATTCACACTTTGCAGCCCAGAACATTCTGATTTGGGTGATGTCATCACTCCTGTTGCTTGTGGAACAGGAATTCCTTCTTTCCCTGCTCTCTCTGGCTGAAGGATTGCAGCAACCCCCATCCTTTGGAATGTTCTCCTGGCCTCTCCCAAAGCCACAGGGTCCTGGTAACTCCACATGCCCCAGGATGCAGCCCCCAGCCCACTCCGGCCTCTTCCATGGATGTATCAAGTGTTTCTCCACCTCCTGGCACAGTGGAAAACCACCCACTGCCCTCCTGAATGCTCCCATGAGATTTTAGGGAGACATAAATTAGCCCCAACCCAGCCAATGTCTCCATAAACACCAGGCAGATCAGCAGGATTCCAAATCTCATCCCAGGAAAGCAGACAAAGACTTCAGATTTTAACCCCTGACCAGGAGAAAGGGCAGGCAGTGCATCTTTGCCATCAGGATTAGGGTAAGGGGATTACAGCACCTGCTCCATCTCTCTGAACTTCAAAGACTCATGGCACTCCTAGTCCCAGATGTGTCCCAGAGTAATTAAGGAAAGCAACGTTAAAAGAATTGAATTTGGGCAGCCTGAGGAGCTCCTGGGGGGCCTCCTTGCTGGAAAAGCCCAGCCACCATCCCTGATGGGAGATTCAGGCTCCTGCTCCAGCCTGGAGCCTCATCCTGCTGGGTCTCCTCCCAGCCCTGCAGGTGGAGGGGTGAGGAAAGGGCAAGAATTCCTGCAGGGATGGCAGCTGGGTGGGTCAGTGATGCTGGAGCCCCTCTGGCCACATCCAAACCTGCCAGGAGCAGTCACTGGTCATGGAAAAGCACATTTTGGGAACTCCTGGGAGCAGGATGAGTTCTCCTGGAGCAGGAAGGTGGCAATGCGAGGACCTGCTGCTCTCCTGAAGCCTCTCCAGTGGTTACTGGGGTTCAGGATTAATCCCCAGGCTAGGAAAGCAGCTTTTTCTGGATGGTTCCTGCTCTCCAGGCTGGCTTGCAGCAGGTAGAGCATCCTGCTGGGCTCTCTGTGACTCACTGTGCCACCCACCTCCCCTGGAACAACGGGAATGTTTGGGCTTTAACGAGCCCTGGAAATTGCTTGTGGAGTATTGATTGGTGTCCAGGCTGCAAGGAAAAGGGATTTTCAGTCATTAGCTGGGAGATGGCAGGGCTGTGGGACTGATCTGAAAGCGGCACAGAAATAGGAATTATTCCCCTTGTTTTGTTTGGGGGTTTTATTTCCTTTCCATTGAATCTCAGCTAACATTTACAGGAGCCCAGCCTGGATTGCTGCTGCTGAGGGTGAGGTGTGGAAAAGCAGCATAGCCACACCTGAAACAGGAAAAATGGGAATTTTCTCACCTCATTCTCATCCAAATGACATCTGTGGGTGCCTGGAGATAACAGGTTCCTCCTTCAGTGCCCAGTAAGAGCAGACTGGTGCAATGGTTCCCCAGGGAGTGTCCCTGTGTCCCTCCTTCCCTCCCTCCCTCAGGAATGAGTCATGGAGGGATCGTGTCCGGCTCCTTCCCGAGCTCTCACCTCGCTCCAATTAGGCAGGAAAAATGTGTGGAAATGAAAGGAGCTGTGTGTAATTTCCAGCAGCTGGAACCTCCCTGCTCTGCTCCCAAGATGGTTGAATTCCAATCGATCTGGGCTTGTGGAGCTCACTCTCACTCTGCACATCTTCTCTTAAAGCCTCCCAAAATATTTTGGTGCTGTCTGTGTGCCCGTGGTTTCCATGGGGAACGGCAGGAGCACAGGAAGGGGTTCAGGGTCCCCAGAGGAAACATTCCCAGCTCCTGTTGTCATTTTCAGCTGAGCATTCCCAGCTCTGCCCAGCCATTTTGTGCTTTTTTTAGGATCTGCTTTGGATTCCCAGCAGCAATTCTCCTCCAGTATTGACTGGAGCTTGGCATCTCATCCCAGAGCTATGGAAAAACACAGGGACACAGAGCTGGCCTTCAGGACAAACCCAAATCTGCCACGAACAGGCAATTCCCAAGCCCACAGGCAGCAGCTCTTCTTTAGGATCTAAGTTAGAGAGTTCAGGCAGAGCAATGCAGCCTTCCCTGCCTCCAAGCCTTCTCCCACAGGATCCTGTGGGATTTCAGGGTCCCTTTGGAGCTCTGATCCAGCTCTGTGCCCCCTGGAGCCCCTCAGAGCCATCAGCAGGGTTGGGTTGCAGGATCCAGAGCCGCTTTGCTCCTGCGGTTCCTGATATTCCCAGAAAATCTGAGCTCTCTGAAGCTCCTCCAGTGCTGTCCTGGAAATCCCACCCCTCAAATTTCCAATATTTCTCCTGGAATATACTGGAGTCCCTCAGGAGTGACTTGGGGTGGCTTCTCCACCTACACGAGCCTTTCCCCAGAGCACCCTGGGCTCTTTTGGGGAGGTGATTTCTGTTTCCCATTGTTGGTGGGCAGATTTGCTCCTCACACCTCCAGGCAGGTGCATTTCCAGCCTCTGCAGCACCCAAAGCGTTCCCAGGGTCCCTGCCAGCCATCCCTGGGATGGATGCACAGGGAGATGCAGGGAAGGGAGGAAGCCTGGGAGCTCCTCTCCCTCCCCAAGCCACGCTGCCAGGGCAGCCTTCAGTGAAATATCAATAACTCCTGGCTATCAAAAAAATAAATCCAGCCCAAAAGTGCCAATTCCAGGCCTGCACGTGCTCCCCCCCAGCCCCACGATCGATCTCTGTTTAATTAAACCCTGGCAATGACTCTCACGTGGGGGCAATTCTGCTGACTCGGCCACTCGGGGATTTTTATGCATCTCTTTCTGCTTTGCTTTTCCATTAACTTATTTTTCCCTTTGTAATAAGGGCTTGTCAGTGTAATTTATCCAGCAGTGCAGGAAGCACGGCCAGCCCGGGGAGCCATTCACAGCTTGCCAGGGATAAACACAATTACACATTTTTAAATGTCAGCCTTCAGGAGAAGGAATGAAAAAAGGTAAACTCTATAAATTGCAGAGAGAGGCACAGAAAGAGAGAGAGAACTGCTCTCTCTGTGAGGAACTTCCTCGTCCCTGGGCATGTCCTGCATCTCTGGGATGCAGAGGAACAAAGGGAAGGCCTCGAGGAATCCATAGAAAGTGGCAGCAGCTCTTGTGCTTTGCTGTGGAGGGTTTTCAAAAGCAGCTGCTGAAGTGTGGTGGCCTGGCAAGTGTCCCCTCCTTGTCACCCAGAGCAGGCCAGATGTGCGGGGAGAGCCCTGCTGCACCCTGCTCATCTCCCAGCAGCTGCTTTGATCTCCCTGCCATGAAAAGAGGAGAGTTCAGCTGGATTAAATGAGAGCCACTTACATAATCTGTTTAAAATTCCAGCAGCACATAGCCAGGGGAAGGAGGAGAGCAGCCAGCTCGTGCTGCTGGCCAGGGGGGAGCTCTGCTGCTGCTGCCCCACTCCTGCTGGGCTGGGCTGGGTGGGGAGCACCCCAGGGACAGGTGACAGCCACTGAACCATCCTGGACAGCTGCTGGAATGGGAGGAAAGCTGGCAGGGAGAGGGAAAAGTTGGAAATTACCTGGCCCTACCAGCAAGCAGCAGTTTGGGTTCTATTAAAGCCATTTTTGGGAGAGTGTTGTTTTGGGGGATGCTGTGCCAGTGGTTTTTGGCTGGGATAATTCTCCTGCTCTGAGACTGGAGCAGGTGGGATCCAGAGCAGCTTTGCTCCTGCAGTTCCCAGCAGGAGAACTAGCCTACTCCTAGGAACAACCATTACTATCTTAACCATTACTGGTCTCACTGAATTATGGCCTGGACTGGCCTTGAAATCAACACACTTGCCATTCACCCATTAATCTCAAAATCCCACAAGCCATTGAAGCTGCCACTAAATCCCTGGAAAATCTGAGCTCCTTGAAGCTCCTCCAGGGCTGGCCTGGAGATGCCACCCCTCAAAGGGTGTTTCTCCCTTAATATCCACAGTGCCATGTCATGAGACTGGCTCAGAGTGTCTGCTCCTTGTGGCTCCTCCACCTAAATGTGCTTTTCCCTGAGCATCCAGGTGCCAAGGTGTCACAGACATCTTTTATGGAAAATCCTTTCCTTAGGATTTTTCCTCCTGAGAAGCTGAGTGGCCTCAGGAACAAAATGTAAACAGTGATTATCTGCTGCTGTGGAATGCAACAGGTGCATCTGGGATTGGCCCATGTTGGATGTTTGTAATTAATGGCCAATCACAGCCCAGCTGACTCAGATAGAGAGTCTGAGACAGAGCCTTTGTTATCATTCCTTCCTATTCTACTCTTAGCTAGCCTTCTGAAGAAATCCTTTCTTCTATTCTTTTAGCATAGTTTTAATGTGATATATATAATAAAATAATAAATCAGCCTTCTGAAACATGGAGTCAGATCCTCGTCTCTTCCCTGATCCTTGGATACCTGTCACATCTTGGATACCTTGGATACGGTCACACCAAGGGGATTCCCTTTCCCCTCCCTCTGTTATTTCCCACCTTCCTTGGCTGGGGAAATGGATTTGTGGGGTCTCCTCATCTGGCTCCGTGCAGCTGGGGGGGTGAGGAAGGAAAAGGATGGGGCTGCAAGTCTTTGCAGGGCTGGGAGAGAGGTGGAATTTCTTGTTGAGGATCCTGCCCCACCGTGCTGCAAGTTGGCAGGGTTTAGGCTGGGGAGGAGGGAGGAGCAGCTGGTGGGCTCAGAGGGCTCCAGAAGGATGGTGTTTGGGAAAAGAGGGACTTTTCCCATGGGACTGGGAGGATGTTGGGGCAGAACAAGGTGAGGGAGAGGCAGGGAGCACCTCTTGGTGCAGGAACATGAGGGAACCCGGAGGGCACAGTTTGGGGTCTCCCTGCAGCTCTTGGGTGGGGCTGGAATTGGGAAACCACCAAAACAGGCACAGCCAGCACTGGAGGGTGGATTTGGGGTGGTTGTGGACGTGAGGAGCATTCCAGGGCACTGATTTGGGCTGGCGGGGTTGGGATTCACCAGGAGGAGCTCAGGAGATGTTCCTGACTTGGAGCCATGGCATGGAAGTGCCACTGGTGTGTCAGCCCTCCGTGCAGGGTGAGCAGGGTGTGCTGGGGATGGGAACAGCACAGGGGTGGACCCAAGGCCAAGGGAGCAGGAGCAGCCTTTGCCAGAGGGAGCAGGTGCCTGGAGAGGGCTGGAAACTGCTGGGAAGGGTGGCCTGGGGCAGGGAGCACAGGGTGGATGAAGAGGTGAGGAGGCTCTTTGGCCTTTGTAAAGACTGTGAAACCTTTCCACAGGAATGCTGCTGGACATGAGAAGGGATGAACTCGCAGCTCTGTGAACCCCTGTGCTGGGCTGTGCTGCGCTGGCAGCCCCAGATCTCTGACCTGGAAAAGGGGCACCAGGGGCACTGTGGCTGCTCTGCTCCCTCCCTCCCTGCAGGATCCGTTTGCAGGGGGGTTCCTCACTCAGGCCAGGCTAATGAGCTGCTCAGAGCCTGCCTGCCTTGCAGGGGTTTCAAAGGGAGAGGGCCAGGCAGGAATAAGCAGAGCATCTCCCAGAGGTGCCCAGAATTCATTCATCTGATGGTTTCATGCAAGGCCAGGGAGATGAAACAGCCCAGAGGCAACATTCCACTCCAAACTCAAATTATTTACTGAGTTATAAAGGCTTTAACACAGCTCCTGATGTGCTGGACTAAGTTTCTAGTTCTTTCTGGCACTTGTTTCTATTTCCATTTCTCTCTCAACAATGTCTGTCCCATTCCATGGCATTTCTAAGTCAGCATTTCTCATCTCAAGGTTTGCATACAGATGCACATTATGTGAACATTCTGTCAAACTTTTAAATTTTCTATAAATCCATTTCCCACACTGATGCAGCCACACTTCAGCTTACATCCTAGGGCAGCTCCTGCTTGGGCAGGGGCAGCTGGGGCTGGCACCAGAGGCTGCTCTGAGGGGACAGGACATGGCCTGGGCTCTGCAGGGGCTGCAGGAGCCCTCCTGAGGTGCCAGGGCTGAGGGGTGGAATTGCACTGAGCTCTCCTGGGGCCCTCCAGCCCAGATCTCAGGGGGATGAAAACCACTGAGCACAGAGACCATCAGGAATTCAGGGACAGGACAAGAGGGAGTGGCTCAAAATGGCAGAGTTTCGGTTGGACATATTGAAGGCATTGTTCCCTGGCAGGGTGGGGATGCTCTGAGGTTGCCCAGAGCAGCTGTAGCTGCCCCTGGATCCCTGGAATTGTCCATGGCCAGGCTTGGAGCAGCCTAGGATGGTGGAAGGTGTCCCTGCCATGGCAGGGGATTAGGGTTAAAAAACAAACTTTGAGGTCCCTTCCAGCCCAAACCATTCCAAGAGCAGCACAAGGTGTTTTGAGCAAAGCACAGGAGTGGTGTAAGAAGTGCAGCTGGGACAGCAGCTCTGAAAAGAAATTGATTTAATATCATTGAGAGTAAAAAAACCCCAAACTTCTTTCTCCTTCAGAGTGCCTGAACAGCCAGCCCTGCTCTCCTGGCTGCCTCTCCAGGTACAAGCGCCTCTTGTGCTGGATGCTTTCCCTGAGTCTCCTGTTTAGCCTCCAGAAAAAAC